CATATTTCTTTAAACTGAAATACAACTTAGTTACTAAGCTTGATAAATTATAGAGGAATTCTATGGTACTGATATAGTAATTTGATTTTTTGGTTATTCAACTATATATATAAATCCTATAAATTGTTTCATATCCTCCACATGCAAAATTTTAAAAGGCTTAGCAACCTATGTCAAGCAGCTACTGAGTACAAAGGTTGTGACTAGAAGAGATAATTGTTTGCATTACTTCTTTATTTACTGTTCTATGTTTTAAGAAAAATAATTTTAAGAACTTATTTCAAAACAGCAATAATCTATATACATATATAATGTATAATAATTGAAATGTGACTGAATTTTACAAAATACTAGTCTACTAAAACACAGATAAGTTACTTTGTACAGACCAAAGGTCAGTTTTATGTTATTTGATATGGTAACATGAGTGCACTTGACCCACATCATTGTAACTTCTGTATTGTTAGCCATGCATGGCTGAGAGGTCAATGTAATAAAAATAATAAGTATATATAAATGTAAAATGTTATGAGATTTCAGTTATTTAGTCTAAATATTTATGTTTTTGTGTTATAATTTGTGTTTATTCTAGAATGAAAGAGGCATAATTTATATTTATTTCCAAAGTTTTTATGGTGGTTATGAGATCGGTCAAATCTATCGAACCTGTACAGAGATTTGTTACTGAAAATAACAGATAAAATGTCAAATTTTTTCGTAAGAAACATTTGATAACTATCTGGACGTTGCAAAAAATTAGTAAGTGAAATTTGAAATTTTTCTGATGCATAAAAGTATTTTTAATCTTAAAATGAAAATTACTTTGCATGATCGATAGGCTACATGCAAAAATAAAAAGACACGAGAAAACATTGCTTTACAAACCTCAAGACTTAATTTAAAAAATTTGATATTTTGCGTATGAAAGCATTGTAATGTTTACTGATAATCTGACAAAGTTTGTTAACATTTGCTTACTAATTAAAAAATTATAGCATGAAAACTATAAGAAGCAAAAAATGGTTACAAGGTCAGTCCTAGGGACAGAGCCCATGCTGAAAGAGGTAATCTGTTCAGAATTTAAAAAATGCCAAGTAAGACTCTACAACACTAAAAAAATACAGAATGGGAAATTAAGTGATCCAAACTACTGTAATGGTACTAAACTTTGTGTTTCAGATATTATCTTTAGTACTTCATACAAGCAAATAAGGATACAACAAATATATAGCATGTTCTTCCAAAAGCTTTGGCACACACTTAGGTATTTCACCTGATTTAAAACAATCTTCAATCTCAAAACATGCAAAAATTGTGTATTCTCTTAGCCTTACTTAAAAGCTGAAATCAAAGGATTAATTAAACTATAAATTTTTGTAAAATATGCTATTTTCTACAAAAACATGACCCAACAACAAAGAATCATTAGGATATGTAGTTATGATACAGAAATACATAAATCTAAATGGATGTTTATCCTTACCTGAAATCTTAATTCTGAGACATGGGAAGTTGAAACTAAAGATGTGATAACGTCTCGTCTAGAGAGTGCACTGTGGTCAGTTAGTCCTTGTTCTTCCTAATAAACAAGAGTAACTTTTACAGATCATACGTACAAAAGATTAATTTAAAACTTACAGCAGCAGTAGTAGTAGTAGCATATTTACATTTTTTTTGTAAAGCTAGACATGGGCTATTGTGCATAGACTTTCCTAATTTTGTACTGATAGCCTACAGAAAAGATAGCTAGGCAACAACACTTACTGCTAAGTCTTGGATTAAACTTGTGTAACTGAATAATTGATTTTAATCATTAATCTTATAGTGCACCCATGACCCCAAAGTGGAGTGTGCAAAGGGTTGCAAGGAATAAACCTTGAGCACTGCAATATTGCCAACACAAACTTAATGATATATAGTAGAGACAGCTGATATGGGTATTAAAAACACAAAACAAGTTACATGTTGAAACATTGTTACTTGTTTTGTGTTTTAAAGAAAGGTTTTTAATACCCATATCGGCTGTTTCTACTATATACACATATATATATACTTCAAGTGGGTTCTCCATCATCATGAAAAACTTCGGTTTTAATCTGCCAAAAATAAAAATGAATATGTAAACAACTATGAGTTCAAGGCTAATATGAAACACACAAAACAATAAACCACTGAATTTAATAAAGATATGACACACGAAAAAAAATTTACAAGGAAAAGAAATATATTACTGCTATCATGAGTTTTAAATGTTATCATACTGCAATTAACATAGTCTACTGAGCTTAGTCTTTAAGCAATACTAATGAATTTTTCTGCAGGTGTTGTAGAACCAGCAACATCTGCATAACTTACTGCTAGAACCAGCAACACCTGCATAATTTACTGCTAGAACCAGCAACATCTGCATAACTTACTGTTAGAACCAGCAACATCTGCATAATTTACTGTTAGAACCAGCAACATTTGCATAATTTACTGTTAGAACCAGCAACATTTGCATAATTTACTGTTAGAACCAGCAACATTTGCATAATTTACTGTTAGAACCAGCAACATCTGCATAATTTACTGTTAGAACCAGCAACATCTGCATAATTTGCTATTAGAACCAGCAACATTTGCATAATTTACTGTTAGAACCAGCAACATTTGCATAATTTACTGTTAGAACCAGCAACATCTGCATAATTTACAGTTAGAACCAGCAACATCTGCATAATTTACTGTTAGAACCAGCAACATTTGCACAATTTACTGTTAGAACCAGCAACATCTGCATAATTTACTGCTAGAACCAGCAACATCTGCATAATTTACTGTTAGAACCAGCAACATCTGCATAATTTACTGCTAGAACCAGCAACAGCTGCATAATTTACTGTTAGAACCAGCAACATCTGCATAATTTACTGCTAGAACCAGCAACATCTGCATAATTTACTGTTAGAACCAGCAACATTTGCATAATTTACTGCAAGATCAAAATTATTGTATGAAACAATAACACGTATAAAGATGTTGATTTTTTAAATTTTTGTAAGACTGAAATTGCCAAAGTATTTTTTCTATGGTTTATTTACACCATTTCACTTTAAGCCTGATAGGACATATCACAATTAAATGCTGCTTGAAATGTAGTTCATAATTTAATATTTTTTATAACCAGAAAATTTCACATACACTCATGATAGTTTTACTTTATGATGATACAGTAACAACAGGTAAAACAGGGAAACTACCAATATTGCAGCTGATTCAAAAACACAGAAATTATAAGACTGAGGAGATAACAGTCTTTCAAATGATGTGATTAATATCCAAAATTTATATACTAAGTTCTCAATAAATTTAATATAAAATAGAAATGCTAATTCTTTTAGTCAAACTTTACAAAATCCTGATAAAGACTGTAGAAGTATAAAAGTTTTCTCATGTAAATAAAATAAGTGAAACCTTTTCGTTGTACACTTCTTAACTTATTTCTGGATTTACAAATACTTGAAACATCATGTTTTGGATACAGATGTTAGCAGTAAAAGTTACTGCTATTCCAACAATTTGTGTACATTTTTGTAGTTTAAGGTGACTGATCACAGGGCTTGCGTTACACAAGATTCTTGTTGTATATCCCTGTATTTATTTAGTTGTTTTAAAGAATGCATCAACTAAAAACTAAAACAATAATTTTACTTTTCTTCTTATTTTAAATTAACCATAAATTTTACATCTTTTTACTTTATTTGGATATTGTTGTGTTTGAGCAAATTGTTGTTTTGTTGAACTTTTGGCAGAGTAGACATAACAGGCTTTAGAACTTTAATGGATTGCAACTGCTTGTTGAATAAACAAAGGGACACTATTTTGGTTTCTATATTGAGGCCTTCTTAAGGGCTCAGTACAGAATCTGAAATGTTGTCTCCATTTGAATGTGATGCATTTTTCATGCAAGAGTATATAAATGTTCTTAATGATTTTTGAAATTATGATATGAACAGTAAATTAAGCCCAATTTTTGGCATGTTTAATAACAACAGTTGATTATTAATATATGCCCATGAGAAAGACCTCTAATTACAAAGTGAATTAAACATACATGAATAACTATATACATTACCTGAATTATGGTTTCTAAGGTTAAGGTGACAGATTCTATACCAAAAAACTTTGCTTCTTCTAAAACACCTGATTATATAAAGAACAAAAGAAAATATATTAGCATATTTAACAACTAACTGTTGAAAAGACATTTCATTTTTTCAATACACTGAAAAAAATCAGACATCTCTTTGCATTATATCTTTAAACAAAAAAAAAAGTGTAGAATATAATTAAGATATAACGTTACTGTGAAAAATATACACAATGATAGCTCACTGTCTTCAGAAGTTACTGTTAAAATTTCAACATTGCTTCTTGGCAGCACATCAGGATGTAATAGTAGGAAAAAACTGGTACATGTAACAGTGATTTGTGACAACACTATAATGAGGAAGAAATATCAAGAGGGTTGAGTCTGTTAAAACATTTTTGAATATGCAAACAAGCAAATCGTGTGACAACCACAGGCCAATATAAAATGGTGAAACATAATATGTCAGAAGTAAACTTTGACATTATTTGGTGTTTTACAGGTAGTGTGATGCAATTGAAAATTAATTGCTTTTTGGGAAGGGTATGTAACAGTACTTTCTGACATAAAATATTAAGACACTCAGATTTATAATGTACAAGACAGGGATATTCATTATACTTAATGGCATTGAAAAACAAAGGAATAAAATCAATTTAAGAAACCACAACCATCTAGAAAGATACCTGTAACAAATGGTATCCCAGCCATGGTAAGCAAAGTGTGGTGTTCTGTAACAAACACAAAAGGTCAGTAGCAAAAGCCTTTCATGTGACCTAGGCAAGAGTACAAACACAATCAAGAAGGATTCCTGCCTGTAAAAGAGACACAAGTTATTTCCATATCTGCTCAGCTGTTGCATACTGGAAGAGGATAAAGAATGAAATGGGTATTTGAGCTATTCCACGTAAAGATGTACCAGTCAAATTAACAGACAAAGAATCTATGGATTTCTGTATGTTCAGGCTGCTGAAATGAGTGCTGGAAAACCCCGTCCTCATACACTAGGTGGATTATGGAAAGCCAGTGAAGTATCAGTGTGTTTGACATTACAGCTTTATCATGGAGCCTTCTGCATTGAAAACTATGCAGCAGGGCTATTGTCAAGAAGTACAGTCATCAGACAGAGCATGATTAGATATAGCAACATTGATGTTAGTAATGTGATGAAGCTCCAAAATCATCTTAATATAACTTATTTAACCTTTGTAGATGGACCTTAGATTTAAAAAAAAAGAATTTCAAGTAGTGTATGTACAAGTAATTGAGCAACAACTATCATATTAAAAAATATATACATTATGTTACTATTCCAATATCACTAATAAATTTGATTTTAAGTGTTATTTCTTTGCCAAAAAATATTGAGATTTCAACAAAAGTAAGCAGGTATTGCCAAAATGTGGTTTCATTATTTCTGCATTAACACCATAAAAAAGTGCACTAGCAGTAATTAAACTAAAATTAAATTATTTGGCAATTCCTCTCATCTGGGTTTTGCAACAGAAAGTATATGAAAAACTACCCATGTGTATTCTGACTTCCCACAATTAAGTGTAGTGACCATTTTTACAAGTAGTTCAGCAAAAAATGTGATGCAGGGTTTAACTGAATCAAAAAAAGACACTGGATGGCAAAGTTTCATAATGAACAGAAAACAGTACTTATTTACAAAATAACTTAAAAATACAACACACTGGTTCAGTAGATGTATTCACTGGACAAAGGACATTTGTACATACAGTTTATCAACTGATGTGATAAGCAGGCATATCATATTTTTTGTTCCTGCTTGTATTAATAAAGGAATTTTTAAACCTTTTGGTTTAGTCAGTTCCTATGCAGTTTTAGTACAAAAACATGGTCCAGAAAACCACTGAAGTTATGTTCAAGTTGCATTTGTGCTCTATTCTCTATACCATATAATACCTACTCTCATCTAGGGGATGGTGCAGTACATTCATGTTGAAAGGGCCAATGATTGCAACATTCTTTGTGGGTCAAATGAATCACATCTGTATGTTATAAACAATAAATGCTATGAGAGAAAAACTAATCAAATGGTGATATCCTTGCAAGAGAAAGAATATGAGCTTTCTTGTATGATCAAAGCATATACTCTTGCTCAGTTCAGCTGGTTTCCAAATTGTGCAGTTTGACAAACATCTGTCTTATGAAAAAAGGAAAGCTCCCGATTGATTCACTTATTCAGTAGAGGTGGTTTTCCACTCATCTACACAAGTACACAGTAGTTTTTGCTTTGTGTTATAAAGACTGTTTTACACTTAGCATTACATGTCAAATCTGTTTATTTCTGATTGCTTAAAAATCAGTCAATGTTTTAAATTCAGATTATTCTCAAATTTCTTGTTCAATCCTACTGTTATTAAGTGCATCTATCTAATACTTGCATGAAATAAGTTTAACTACAAACAACACACTGACAGCACCAAGAGAATAAGCATCATCTAGCTTGCTATTAAAGGTGTGGCGATACAGCAATACCATTGTGGAAACTAAAAGACAGAGAAGTACATAGTACATTTTCAAAATACCATAGCCATACTTTCAGAAGCCAAACCTAAGCTACAGTAAACAAAATAAAAAAACATAAATTACCTAATGATACAATAACTTAAGAGATCATATATCCGGTACACAAAGTTTTCTATAAAGCTTTCTTTGCTGTTTTCTTTAAGTGATGTAACAGTAAAAAAAAAACCCTTTTATATTTCCAAAAAATTTTTATACTGAAGGAGATTGCTCTTGAGTATTCTGAGAACTTCTCATAATGATATTACTGAGGGATGTTGTTCAGTCAGTCAGTTTTTCTGCCTCTAATAAGGGGCAAATAACTTGTATATTAAAAAACTATCAGTCTGCTGATTAATTAGCAACTACCTGATAATCAGCTTAACTTTTTCCAGGCTAGTAGGGTTTCACTGATAACTCATTCTTTGTTGTCACACTTAAAATGGTTAATAAAATTTGGCATATAATTGGGTTTAGTATTTGTATAATTGTTTAGGTTGTGGATTTCTGGAAACTTTGTTGTGAAACCTATTAAAAAAAACAAAAAACAATGAATAATATGGCTTTTCATCTTAGAATTTGTTTTTTTTATATATTTTTTACCTAAAATTTTTAAGCCTATCCAATAGTGGTATTTTTTTCAATAAAACTAGAAGTTTTGTGGTCATCTTTTTTCTGGTAAGAGCATACTAATTTATTGTCTTTTCATTTACAACCTCTGACATACAATGAAAGTAACCACTGGAAAATATGAAAGAAATTAAGCTGGAGTTTATCATTACTGATCAGTAAGTTCCATTTTGTATATCCAATGAGTTCAAACTTGTTTGATGTAATTTATATTTGTTATTTATTTTTTACCTACTGAAGCAGTTATGTAGCTGCAAAAATAGCACAAAACACTGATGAAAAGTAAAAGCATTGATCAGTGAAAAAACCTGTTCTTGGACTGATGACAGTGATATTTTTCCAACTATATTTTTGGTCAAGCTCAATTTTTCTCTAATAATTATTGTTTGTTTTCAATAACTACAGTTCTGGTACTTGCATGTGTTAAGTAATAGTATATTTACTAGTATATACAATAAAAAAAGTTTTGTGACACTTGCATATCTTTATGGCAGAATTCCTAGCTTACTATACTCACTAACCCAAAATATCCATATCTAATGTCTTCTCATAGAATAATATTTCAGTAGATTTCAAACAGAAGTAATGTAATAAAACAATGTTATCAAGAACAAACAGAAAATCAAAAGGAACTATGAAAAACATTTCCAGGTTTGTGACTTGTTCATAAGTACTGTTAACTTTGTATTACAATCCTTTGTTCACCCCAATGGGAACTTTCTCAGACAACTGTAAACTACTGCTTACACCACTTCATTTACTTTACGCTGATGCAGACAGACCAGATCTTACAATCCAATCATTTTTAGCCATTGGTTCTAACTGCTTTCAAAACTAAGAGTTATTAGCCACTGTCCAACTCATTGGCTGTGACATAATAAAAGGCTGGCCATATAGAGTTGTACAAATAAAACCATTGAAAGTCAGATGAAAAACAAAGCATGAATAAGTCTAATTCTAAGAGATGATAGTTTCTGAGTAAATATGAACCTGTACTTTGTAATGAGTAGAAAATTCTACAAAATTGATAAGTGTATTGTTTACAAGCAATAATAATTAGTGCTGCATAGAAATAAAAAAATAAAAGCATTTTTCTTTGTGAATTACACTAAATAAATGTTAAAAATTAGAAAATATCAATTTAAAATATTTTTGAGAAAAACAATTGTTGAAATAAAATCAGAATCTACTTAAATTAAGAAATCTGATACGTGTGTACTGAACCAGAAATCTACCTATCAGCTGTAACAGTTAATCAGCTATAATGTTGATTAATTAAAATAAGAAACTGAACTAATTTTCATTTGCCAAACTAAAAATTTACCAATAAAGTGAAATTCATGCAATAGTAGTAGGTTAATATAATAAAGCACACAAGTTATGGATCACATAAATAAAAAGAAAGCCCCCCCCCCTCCTTTTAAATTACTTACTGGCCTAATGAATCAAAGTAGCACTAATATATTATAGAATACATTCCCAATTTGTCTCTGAAGAAGAAAGGTCCACCTTTCGAAAGTGCTCGGGTTATATGGTTTTTATTCATTTCTATCAAGACTTCTTGAACCTATGTGTTTTTCTAACATTAAAGACTACAATTCTCCAACAACAGGATCAGTTGGAGAGGAAACTTTAATGTTGACTGTTGAAACAATTTGAATAGTACTTTGCATTTGAGAATTCTTTTAAAAATTCAAGACATCATGCAATACTTGAATAATAAAAATGTGATATTAAAGCATAAAATTACACCATCTACAGTTCTACTTTCTCAATCAATTCACCACATAAATAATAATTATATTTTCTTGGGAGAGGCAGAAGTACAAATATTCAACACTTAAGTTCTTGCATGTTGGCACTGTTAATTCTATTAGCAATTGACACCAATTATCAGTAAATGATTATGTAGTCTGATCAATTGATTGGTAATTAGCAAATCTGTAACTGGCATATCTATGTCAATAATTCTTCTGATTTCACCTTTCTAATATGTAGAAATAAGCTCAAACAATTTTTAACAACTGTCAGTAAGTTCCAGTTTGCACCACAAAACTAGTTTGTCACTTATGGTTGCTTTAGTGTTTATGAATGTTGCAAGACACAAAGTTGAAACATCATTGAGAAAGAATCTTCATGTTTCATTTGCTAAAAAATTTTTGATTAATTGCAGAATAGCTGGTACAAGTTGTTATAAATTTGTTTACACTTACTTGAGCTAATTTTTGGTCAGAATATTTAGTATATTTAATTCTAAAATTTTTTATATATTTATTATAGAGATTATTTTTCATTCTTAGCTAAATACATGTATTTGGGACTAATCTAAATATCTTAAGCTGGCAAAACCTCACGAGATATTGGATTTATAACCAAAAATATTGTTAACTGCAAGGGTACCTAACTGATGAAACAATTCATTCTAATCTTTATAAGTAAGAATGTAAGACAAATATATTTAATTAGCTATGCTCATTACCAGGTTGATATTTAGTTTTGCTCCAAGATTGTACCTTGCTCTAATCAGAAGTTAATACTAATTGAGAAAATTCTCAGTAAGGAATATAAAATTGCTCAAAGTAAATTATTTAAGATAATTTATAAAACAATTACATTGATTCTCCTTTGATACTATAGAAAATATTGAGGTGTATGTATTTCATGATAAATTTAAAACAGTAAATATCAATACTGGATCATAAAATTTTCTATAATATCCTTTACCTTAAAGCTTTAATAGAAAGAGATTAAAAATCTAGAAATTTTAATCAAACATAATGAAAATTAGATATTACCTGCAGGATTGACATTTTTGTCCAAGATCAGCTGACCATGCCTCAAATAATTCAAAAGGGGTTCAAAGTACACAGGACTTCGGTCAATCAGAAATGCCCCTTGGAAGTCAACTGCACTTGGTGACATGAAAGATCCATCTGGTGCAGAAAACATTCTGGCCAACATGGAAGTTGGTTCTTTGGTGACTAATGTACTTCTGCAAAAAAAAATTATAAATATCAATTCACAGACTACACACATTAAAAACCAATTTCTTGAGGCAGCATAAATCAGTAGTTGCTAAATTGTAAATCCAATCAAAAGCTACTGTAAACAAGATCAAACAATAAATGTCTATGTTAGAGTGAAAATAATCAGAATAATAAGTTATAACCTGAATATAAAGAATCAACATCTAATGCTAATTTTCATACTAACAAAAAAAATTACATCTTGTAGTTGCACCTACAAAACTTCAGAAGAGCAAGTCATTGTTAAGCAACAAATAGAAACATGTCACAAACTAATGGTTTCATATGCACAAACTTCCTTAAAAGTATTGATACCATACTCCAAAGGGAACTATTCCAAACCAGTTCATGTTGATTTTCCTATACCTGATGTCATGTTTAAGCACAATATTGAAGCATATTACAGTAACATGATTTTTTGCCATTGTTTACGACAGAAAGTACATCCAGAACCATATACGCTACACTTCCATAATATTTTATTTTTTGTGATGAGCTATTTTAGGTTTCTAATAGCATCCATTGTTACAAGGTATTTGGCCAAAAGAAGATCATTTCAAACACATTTTACCAAAACCAGATAATTTTTTCCAGGTTAGTATGCTGTGGCAGACATTCACTACATGATGTTTAGTGACATTTACAATAAATATAACTATATTAGTAGTTCAATGGACTTGTAAATATAAAGTTTTTCCTTTGTATGAAAACATACATTCCATGTAATGTAAATTTAAGTATTTTAGTTTGTACTGCTTACTCTTAATAACAAAATATTTATCAAAACCCAAAGCCAAGGGACTGAATAATCTTCACAAAATACATAAAAAAAATCAAGAGATTATAAACAATTATGATAAATATATATAGCAGATTGTCAGAAAGCATTTAAAGAAATTATGCGTAAAGAATATCATTATAGTATTAAAGCATTTCATGGTATTAAGACATTAAGTTGTGCATAAAAAGTAATGTCTAAAATAATTAGAATGAAATAATGTGAGATTTAGCATCCTTCGGAAAAGAATAAACCAAAGCAAAGATCTGGGATCATGAACTATAATCTGTAAATATGTAGCACTGCATAATCAAATAGAGGAACAGAAAAAATTAACACTGCACAGTAAGAAATAAAATATATTCACATATTAGAAAAGTGTGCCTATCCTATTAACTCTCTCACTGTAAATATTTTCTGCTTGTTATACTACAGTTTTCATACTATAACTTTTATTACAGTATGTGTATCCTCATGAATTTTGCAGATTAACAGTAAACATTAAAAGGCTTTCAAACACAAAATATTAGATATTTTTTTATTAAGTTTTAATTTTTTTTAAATAATGATTTGCTCATGCATTTTTTCTTTTCAAATGTTGACTATCCAACATGCAAAGTAATTTTGATTTTAAGATTAAAAATACTTTTATGCATCAGAAAATTGTCAAATTTCACAGGCAAAATAACCTCCAGATAATTATCAGACATTCTTTTTAGAAAATTTTCATATTTTATGTTATTTTCACTATTATATGTTTGTATGGGCTTGGTTGATTTGACAACCTTGTAACTACCATAAAAAACTAGGAAATAGATATAAATTACACTTCTTTCATTCTAGAATGACTACAAATTATAACACAAAACACAAATGTTTCGTCTAAATATCACAAAATTATACATTTATATATATTCATTATTTTTATTGTATTGACCTTTCAGCAATGTCTGACTAGCATTATAGAAGTTGCAATGATGCAGCACACGTGACTCATATTACTGTATCCAACAGTATAAAACTGGCCTTTACAAAGTGACCTGTTTTGGCTTTGTTCTAATGGGCCAGTATTTTGTAAAATACAGTCACATTTCAATTTTGTACGTGGAGGATGTAAAACAAAAACATTTTTTTCAGGTTTCATACATGCATTTTGAAATAACAAAAAATCATAAATTACTGTATCAATACCACAGAATTCCACTATAATTTATCAGGCTTAGTAAGTAAGATGTATTTGGGTCTAAAAAAATATGAAATTTTGAGCTCCATTATCTCTTACTTCTCCGCTTTGATTTTACCATGAAAAGGAAGGTTTACCCACATAAACATTTTGCAAAGGCTGAAAAAACCATGTGGGGGAACTTCTGAGCTTTCGATTGGTTATACACATTATAGAGTGAAGTATGTGTATGTAAACAATTATTTCCAAAAATGGAAGAGGTGGGTGGGGTCACCTTGGTTGATTCACTAAATATAATAATATCTCAAAAAATAGAAAAGATAGGATATTCTTATTTTATATTCTAGCTTGTCAATATCAGTAATTTCAGTTTCTAATTCAACATCACAAATATGAATTTGAAACAAAGCTGTATTCAACGTACCACATGACACACAAAAATCAATATTTATGCGTTTTTTTTAATATTTATTTTTTAATTAAGAATTTAACTAATGTACAATACTAATCATTAATTTGATATCAAACTCATTGACATATATTCATAGAATAGTAGTTCAATAAAAGTTTGAATGTAAGTCTACAAACATGATGACATGTCCTTTGACCCTTGACTACAGGAAAACCCATAGTGCTAGGGTTAACCATTTGCACCTGGTCCCAGATTGTTTTGTGCATGTTGGACCCTTTCAAAATGAAATTTAACAACTTTATTATCAGACTTGGTATAAAAGTGTAACGTATACTTCAAATTTGCATAAAATTTAGGCTTTAACTTCATAGTTTCAAAATGAAATATTAAGAAAAAAACAACTCCATTTTCATTTTTGAGTCACATGACGTGTCAGAGTTCAGATTTCTCTATCTCAGAATATACTAGAATCAACGATTAGACTACTGCAGTTTCCAACCAATTAGAAATACAAACTGTAACAATTAACAGCTAAAAGTTGAACCTCATACCTGCCGATTTGCCAAGATATTAATAAATTTGTCTAACCCACCAGAGAAGCCCCTCCACTTTCTTTCTCTGTGACTTTTGAGATTGTGTGCTAGTCAACTACTTACATGGCTAATGAATATGTTTATTCCAACAGAAAGAGAACATTTTCCTCTTGTGGTTTTGATTTTTCTGTCTAGAATATTCACTCCTTAGATCAGGAATTTTTAAATTGTGGTACATATACCACTAGTGGTATGTAGAGCTAATATTGGTGGTATGCAAAAAAGTAGCATAAAAATTATAAAGTTCGTAATAAGCCTAATTTGAACTTCCCACGTACATATACACACATTACTCTCCTCACTTCTAGAATTGCCAGTGTTTTCTTTCCTTCAAATTGACAAGAATCACAACATATATTTTTCAATTGTGTCCCCAAACCAACAAAAAAATATCCCAACATTCCCATTAATAGGTAGGAATATTAATTTTTTTTACTAGTAGGTTATTATTATTTTTAAATTAGGCCAGGATTTGAATTTCAAACAAAAAAAAGTTTAAACAAAAGTGGTATGCAAGCCTGAAAATCACAGGGAAACTTTGAACATCTAACAGAATGTTATTGACCTATTTAGTGACCTATATATTTTGTGTTCCCAAATGTGTATATGAAAAACTACATTAATTCTTTTTCTGGACACCCAAATTTATGAGACTCAATGAGGCTTATGGAAGAATATCTAAAATACTTATTTTACTGCAAATTAGTTCATTATACAGTAAGTACTACAAATTAGTTCATTATACAGTAGGTACTACAAATTAGTTCATTATACAGCAAGTACAACAAATTAGTTCATTATACAGTAAGTACAACAAATTAGTTCATTATACAGTAAGTAGTGCAAATTAGTTCATTATACAGTAAGTACAACAAATTAGTTCATTATACAGTAAGTACAACAAATTAGTTCATTATACAGTAAGTACAACAAATTAGTTCATTATACAGTAAGTACAACAAATTAGTTCATTATACAGTACGTACTACAAATTAGTTCATTATACAGTACGTACTACAAATTAGTTCATTATACAGTAGGTACTACAAATTAGTTCATTATACAGTAGGTACTACAAATTAGTTCATTATACAGTAAGTACTACAAATCAGTTCATTATACAGTAAGTACTACAAATTAGTTCATTATACAGTAAGTACTACAAATTAGTTCATTATACAGTAAGTACTACAAATTAGTTCATTATACAGTAAGTACTACAAATTAGTTCATTATACAGTAAGTACTACGAATTAGTTCATTATACAGTAAGTACTACAAATTATTGTTTTATGTATGTATATTTTTTAACAGAACTGAAATGTGAAAATCTGAAACTTCTCAACATATATAAAAAGTCTAAAATTTCTAGAGGCTCTAGAGGTTATATAGATGAAATACAAAAACTGTAAAATGAAGTATTTTTATTCTTAGCATGAAAATCAACTCAGAAAAGGCTTCAGAAATTCACAGAGAAATCTTCAGTAACAATATTATATTAAAAAATCCTTTTTGTGTGCAAAGACTTCTGTTTACTAAAAGCTTGCCAAATTTTTGAAGATACTTATAGCAAATTCAGAATGATAGTAAACATTATGTATAACTTCACAAATATGGGGATCAGTAAATATCACCAAGCTAAGAAACAAAGAATGAAAACTTGCACATTAACACAAGTTACACTTGAATAACAAAGTCTCACATTTAATCCTCCAATCAAAGTTCAAAATTGGCCTGGTTAAGGACATAAGACAAAAAGCAGTCTTAGAAGCTAAAACATTTTGTAATTATTTAGTAAGCATCACATAATTAAAGATCACTAAACTTATTAATGTATATTTGAGTTTAATAAGATAACACTTTAAAAGCAAGGACAGTCAATAAAACAAATATGTTTCAATAACTTACTTTTAAAAGAAAGGAATAAAAAAAATGCCAGTTCAATTAAAAGTACTCTTCATTCATTTACTTGCCAAACTAACAATTACAGCCTCAATATGCACTGGAAGTGAAAACTTTTAAGGCTAACTAATAGGGTAGAAGTACAGCTATTCCATCTTTTCAACTTTTGAAATGAACTAACCTTCAAATCTCCTGTGATCATAAAAACTTCAACTTTTGAAATGAACTAACCTTTGCATCTCCTGTGATCATAAAAACTTCAACATTTGAAATGAACTGACCTTCAAATCTCCTATGATCATAAAAACTCTGTAACTATACTGTCACTCTGTAAAGGACATTGAACTAAACTATCAATAAAAAAGTAAGTGGAGTTATCTTAAATTACTATTTTACACTAAAGCTGGATTATTTAATCAATTGATATAATTGATTATCTATAAAAGTAATTACATCGATAAGTGTGAGATAAGCATGAAAGCTACAAATTAGGCTATCTGTGCTCTGCACAATTTTTTTTCATAATTCAAATCTGTTTAGCTTTGTTGATTGGGGGCTCTTCACTTGAGTGTATCGGGTTTAAGCTGCCAATACCCTCTGCAATACTTTTTTAATCTGCTTGTAAGTACAATGGTTAGCGTAACATTTTACTAATCACATAATTGAATGTAATCAATTAATGGGGCCATCAGTTAATAATTAGCAAATACTGGTAATTATCCTGCTATATTTTACAGTGAACAACCCTTTCAAATAAATATAACAATGATACCTACCTCATAAAAAATTAACATATTACTAGAATTAAAAGCAAAGTTACAAATTTGAAATACCACAGTGTTTCACCACATAACTTCTTAATTAAAATAACTTCTTTAATTTTATGTTGTTGTTATCTGTGTCAAGGAAGTGTGAATACATGGTGGGGTGTGTGTAAGAAAAATACTCTGATATAAAATTTAAAACAATAAGAATATTTAATTTTGCAAATATGTTTCTCTTTTGTAATTCTGTAATAGGATTTGATAAAAAAGAAACTTTTTTTTTCAGTCAAAAATAAATCTAAAGAAAACCAAAAAACATATTAAAATATACCTAGTTGTTGCAAACAACTGTCCTCCTACATTCAAGAACACCCAGTCCTGACTACCAGGAGACTGCCTTAATAGTGAAAACTGTGGAGATGATTCTGAAAAAGCTAAGAAAACACAGCCATATAAGTCATTAAAAATATAATAATTGATGACCTCTAACTCCATGAAGTAAAAGTTTATTTTACAAAAAATGTACCTAGTCCTAACCCTTAATTATACTTAGATTAATTAAACTTTGATTTTTTAAAAATGGCATACATGAAACACAATCTATAAAATTATGATCCTGTACATTAAAAACGATGTACATGGATTGATAAGGAATTCTTAAAGATTACAAATAAAAGCCTGTACTGCCAAAGTTATAAATAAATTACATTATGTCCCATTGACTAGTTATGCTTAACAAGCTTCCATGGTTGGTTTTACAAATACACACTTGCTAACAATGTATTGTGTACTACAACAAATTAAACTTCTACACAACACGTTAAATAATGGCTATCCAATTGATTTTCTAATGAAGATTACAAGCAATTTCCTAAACAACAAATTCCAACCACTAGCCAATGTGCATACTGTCCCCCAAACTTCCCTCATTATCTCTCTTCCTTTTATGGGTTCACAATCCCTACAAATTAGAAAACAACTCTCCTCTTTAATAAAAAACTTCTACCCTCAAATTCAGCTCAGTCTAATATACAGACCTAGCCTCCACATTTAAAACCCATTTCAATATAAACGTCAACAACCTAAGCTTCGACGTTCATGTATATGTGTGGCGACAGGAAGGTCATGTACATGTGTGGCGACAGGAAAGGTCATATACGTGTGTGGCGACAGGAAAAAAGGTCATATACGTGTGTGGCGACAGGAAAGGTCATGCATATGTGTGGCAACAGAAAAAAAAAGGGTCACTTACACATGTGGCAACAGGAAAAGTCATGTACATTGGCAAAACAAAATGCCACTTGAAAACTAGAGTGTGAACATTTAGGAGTATCTAACAGAACCAAATATCAACTAGTTAAACACAGCAACTCATCCATTCATTCATATGTTGAAACCATGGGTCACAATATTTCATTTAATGATTTCTCTGTCATTACTACAGGTTCTTCAGACCTTGAACTTACATTAAAGAAAGTTTACTCATAGCTTAAGACTGCTCTACTCTTAATGATTTACAAACCTCTTTACATCTACAATTATTCTAGTTTACACACTTAAAACTCAACTGTTGGACAATATATCGATAATCTTCTTTTTTGTTTTATACTTCCATTTACCTCTTTAATTAATAACTAAGTTAACTAGTGATTAATGACATTATGGTTTTAGTTAATAAAATAACTTTGTAACACTATTTTCAGATTTTGCCGAAGATGGAATAAGTGTATTTCGAAACATTCAAACATTGTAAATAAAATGTTTTGCGTTTTGTCAACCATCTTCATAAGTTTTCAGTGGTTTTACAAAAAACAAACTTGCTAATAAATGTGTTGTCTATTACTGATATTCTTAACAAGTTTCTAGAGTAGTTTTACCAAAACAAACTTGCTAATAAATGTGTTGTCTATTGCTGATATTCTTAACAAGTTTCTAGAGTAGTTTAGAAAAACAAACTTGCTAATAAATGTGTTGTCTATTGCTGATATTCTTAACAAGTTTCTAGAGTAGTTTAGAAAAACAAACTTGCTAATAAATGTGTTGTCTATTACTGATATTCTTAACAAGTTTCTAGAGTAGTTTTACAAAAAGACTTGCTAATAAATGTGTTGTCTATTACTGATATTCTTAACAAGTTTCTAGAGTAGTTTTACAAAAATACTTGCTAATAAAGGTGTTGTCTATTGCTGATATTCTTAACAAGTTTCTAGAGTAGTTTTACAAAAACAAACTTGCTAATAAATGTGTTGTCTATTGCTGATATTCTTAACAAGTTTCTAGAGTAGTTTTACAAAAACAAACTTGCTAATAAATGTGTTGTCTATTACTGATATTCTTAACAAGTTTCAAGAGTAGTTTTACAAAAACAAACTTGCTGATAAATGTGTTGTCTATTGCTGATATTCTTAACAAGTTTCTAGAGTAGTTTTACAAAAACAAACTTGCTAATAAATGTGTTGTCTATTACTGATATTCTTAACAAGTTTCTAGAGTAGTTTTACAAAAAGACTTGCTGAATGTGCTACGAAGTTAGTATTTGCTTTCACAATGCACAAAACAACAATAAGTGTTCACTTAATAATAATGCAGAAAATCTGAAAAATTGTTACTGATTTCTCAATTGTTGAAATAGTGTCTTTAACTAAAGATTAAGGAGGATTTGATTCCAGGTTTTAAGCATGAAGATTTTACAAAATTGTATAAATAAAGACTGATACAGCATGGTGCAGTCCATAGGGTTCTGGTCCATAGTAATACATTAAAACAAAAATTGCTACTCTCAGTCCCAGGTCCAAATGTATATAGTTATGAAAAGTATTTTCCATATAAAAAGATGCTATTAACAACCTTGAATTCATGGGTAAAATACAAATACAGGTAGTCCCTGTATGGCTACTTTCATCAACAAGACTAAAGAACATATTGCAAAAGATGCCCATGAACATTAAGAAGTTTCAAACAATGAAGAGCTTACTTAGTTAGCTATTTGTAAATACAAAAAATAACACTAATCACCACAAAAATTTGATAACTTCAAAATTCTCAATTTAGACATGCTAGAGATATGCACAGATAGTCCTTTGAACAGCTTTACATAATATTATGAAACAATTTGTTTATTCTTTTTTGAACAAATCGTATAACATCTTATGATCTTTTTTGAACAAATCATATAAAAACTTGTGATCTTTATTGTACAAAACACCCAACTTTGTTTTTCTCATTTCTGAAATCGTACTGCATTGTTACTTCAAATACTCAAGATGAATAAAGAAAACCTGAGACATTCAGAATAAAATAACTTCACTACTTTTAACATCTTTTTAAGAGAGAGCTAACTGGGTTGGTTAACTAAAATTACTATTGATATATCCTTATATAGTGCTTAATTTATTTCAACTCAATTCACAACATCATAATCATCTTGTAAGTATATCCAAGGCTCTTTGCAAGCACTTATGAGAATGAGCAACAAAAATATTTACACAGGAAGTTATATACAGGTCATTTCACTCTTTTATTGTTGTTTAGTTATAAGATTCAATCTCAATAAAAACAAAACTGTTATATAAACAGAACACTTATTTACATAAACATTTACCATATAAGGAAGTTTATATATAAGAATAGTATTAATCAAGCATATGGTAGCAACTCTTTGTGTAGAAAGCTATAGCTTATACATACAGCTTAAAATTGGCTTCTCAATAAATGGAACTACAAAGATATAAAATTAATCTGACACTGATTACATCAAACAGAAGTAACAGTAACATAGGACAAAAAAACAACAACAAAAAAACAGAACCTTTAGCTTTTCTAAGAGGATAATAAATATTCAGTTAATGTTCTGAAAGTTTACATTTTCCTACACTGAAAATGTATTTGCGACAGATACTTACCTCTATATGCAAAATTTTCATCCACCTCCAGCTTTGATGCTCCCACCTATCCTCATGTCTTTACACTTAGTATAACTGCACTGTAGCATGCAAATCAGCATGTAACAACCCTTCACCAATAAGAGTGCAACACACCCTACCAGTGCAGCTGACTCCTTCTAAACTCTAGAGTACTATGATTACTTCGAGATTAGGCAAAAGACATACCAGAAGTGGGAAAGGTGGATGGGAAGTGTAAGAAGAGGTAAGTATCTATTGGAAATATATTTTCAGTGTAGTATGATGTCAACTTTCATTACAATACTTTCCCTCCACTCGCATAATAGCTAGAATCCCACAATGAAACAGTGGATGGACCAGTGTAAAAGTTACCTAGATGAGCACTCTTTGGAAGACACCTAAAGAAAACCTATGGAGTGTGATATTTAAATGTATAGGGTCACACCCATGAGAGATTACAGCCCATATGTACCAACTTTTCCCATTATAAAGATTCTTGTTGCTAAATAAGGTGGAAAAGATGTTCATGCAATCTGTGATTGGATGCACCAGATGGTGTAGAGTGGCTAGGGCACATCAGACCACATTTGATGGGTCAACTCCAGTCCAAAACCACAAAGCATCAGGTATTTGTCTTCTGATCCATGGTAGGAGGAAGGTCCTAACCACCTTTACCTCAAGCCCAGGAAGCAGAAGGGAGAAGCAACTTCCATTCCAACAACCCATGTAGGACACTTATGCAGACCCGGTACACAACCAATACCAGGCAATCCAGGGACCTGACATCCAGGCGATGGTAGGAAAGGGGAGTGCAAACACAGTGGGTCAACTCCTATCCAAAACCAGGTGGCATTGGGAATTTTTTTTCCAATATGCAGTAGGAGGAGGGTCCCAACCAACCACGTGCAAGGACTTATGTCGGCCGCTCCTACGCCAATCCAACACCAGGCCATCTAGGAACTGACCTCCAGCATCACAATGGGGGAAAGCCAGCTTGGGGGGGGGGGACTCATGGAGTGGATTCATCCAGTCCAAAACCCCATGGCATGGGGAATTTGTCTTATGGTCTGTGGTGGGAAGAGAGTACTCATCATCTATACTGATAGAACACCACCACCCTACTGGCAAGGACTCCCATACTCCACTGGAAGAGTGGAATGGGAACAGTGTGGTGGGGAAGTCTGGAGAAACACAACACCATAAGCCAGAGCAATGGGTGACCACAAAAATTGTATTTTGAAAAGCAGGGCAGTCCCAATTTATTTAACTATGACTGGAGGGATGGGCAGAGATTCTGACACTGCTTTACTCATGATAGTCCATGAGTTGGTATGGTCTGGTATAGGTTTTATTTATGAATCAATATATTGCAAGGAACCCTCTAGCAGTCTTGTAAAACACCTCATCTCATCAGTGAGCATTATAGACCTATAAGGTCTTATGGTGCAAATGTACAGTTACATATACCTGGATAAGTACCACTTGCCACATAGTGGGATCCAGGGATGTAGAAAGGTAAGAGACAAAAAAGTGAGAACTTACACATTCAGAGCCTACATTGGTTATGAAGAATGGCAACGGGTGGTTATTGAAAGCCCAATGAGGAAGAGACGGCCACATGATACAGGCAATGTGCAACAAACATATGAAGTACAGTCCATATGCCAGCCTGCAAGATTTTCTGTAACGGATGACGTACGTGAGCAGCTTGGGAAAGGTGAGATGACAGATCTGGTGAGAAGAAACTTGGAATACGTGATGAGAATTTTCAGTCAATGATGAATAAGATAATGAAACCAAATGGTAAGGGTCACAGGTGAGAGATCTTAGATAGAGGATGAGTTCTAGGGGATAAAAGGAAGAGAATGGGAGCTATGAAAAGAAGCAGATGACATAAAACAAAGAGCTTGCATGGGACAAAGAAGATGATTAAGAATATAAGTCCACAATATATGGAAGGGAAATAGGTGTGAATGTGCTGTCCCTTTCATGCATTGGGAAACAATTACAATTGGAATAAAGGAGAACATATGAATGGTGATAAAGAATTGGGAAATATCAGTAGCAAAGACCTCTGACCAACAGCATCCATATGGAAAGAAGAGTAAGAAATAAGTCTTGAGGGAGAGATGGTACATAGAGCAAGAGGCTGAAGGTTCAAAGCAGGAAGAAGAAGGGCACGAAGGGCAACATTGAAATTCCAATCTGGTAGGGCAACTGGACAGGGAGGATGAATAAAACAAAAGGAATGAAACAGAAGAGAAAGGACAGGAGAAGAAAAAATAAAGTGGAAGTGATGAAAACAAAAAGTATTGGACAATGCCACTTTATAGCCCTTAATGGTAGAAATGGATAAACTACTGTCAAAGAGCCAAGTAAAAAAATAGGAAAGTGTGGAACATTAGGTTTGAAAGGTGAGAAACTGTGATGCAAAGACCAGTGATAGAATGACCATCTGAGATTTAGAAAAAACTCCATGGTGAAATGCAGAAGGTCCAGAAAGCAGTTGATGTTTGAGAGATCGATAACATGATAACAATCCTATGTTTTCTTGGGGACCACAAACAGGTGGGAATAAAATCCCAGAGAAAGGAGAAACTTACTCAATAGCATCCTTCTCTATAAGATTCAAAACTGGCTCTGAGAGATGTTGGCAAGAAAATGTATAAGGAAAAGGAGGGAAATATATGACAACTGGAGATTTCCAAGGAGGAGTGTAAAAACGAACGAACAATCCGTCTGCTAGCACTTGCAGAACCCAAGAATTTGCCATGAGAATTCACCACAGATGAGCAAGTCTGGCCAACCAAACCCCCACAGAGCCAGAACCCAAGAGGTAGACACTGATGATGCTGATGTCTGAAAAGGTGACAATAGTTGATCTGACAACTCACAGCTGAAACACAGGATGATGGAACAGGTAGAAGAGATGATGCTGGAGGACAGGACGCAGGAACAGGGGAAAACTGGGAAGGATATAGAGAAATGTTGGTATTCTGCCTCCACCAGAGATACTAAAGAATCAGGGACATCTCCATAAACTGACTGGTGTGAGAAAGAAGCCACACTAAGGTCACACATATAAGATGCAGGCAAACAAACATGTGACAAAAGGGTGTCCTTGCCCAAGAGATCACAACAACAAAGCAACCTTATATGGAGGGTCAAAGCTGATGAAGATAAACACATCAACATACAGAAAAGAAGGGAACGCATATATGACAAGGACCCCTCATGGGAATGGTGGATAGCTTTAGAAAGGAGGTGGATAGATGAAAGATAACTAAGGATAGTCATTAGGGTAAGACAATAATAAAAGAACTGGGCAGGGGAAAAACAAAGTGTAGCAGAGGGATCAGATCCCCATGCTTGAATTAGTGATTCAAAGGTCTGAGAATCAAAAAACAGAAACTCCGACCTGTGGTAAGCCAAAGCATGCAAGTCTGCCAAACATGGTAGTCTTGGCATGCTGGTACCCATACACAGTTAGGTAAGGAACTGTTCAACATGGATACGAATATCTGGGGAGGTAAAACTAAATAATCAGACCAGAATGAAGGAGGAAGGACAAGGGAGATCTGTTGGGGTAGACTGAGAAGGAGCCATAAAAGCAGGAGGTGAAAAAAGGCTGTCCAAGTCTTCATCCTCAGGAACAGATTCCCCAGGAAATGGGAAACCAAACCACAGGTTGTGAGACGTAACAGGCCGTATTTAAGACTCCAACTCCCAACACACCAAGGCCTCCTCAGCCGAAAGCATGGAGCCCAAAACCACAGTAGTGGTAAGTTTAGCAGGATCCATACCAGAAGTCATATTTGTTACATGAAACTGAGAATTCATCATGTGGAAAAAGAAAAAAATATCTTTCCACAGGAAAATAAATGAAAACAAACTTCAAGTTGTCAAAAAAAGGTAGCAAAGAGTTAAACTGAACAGAAAATGCAATGTACTAAATGAATAATTTTGCATGACTGTGCTCATGAATGCCAAATCCAGAAGATATCATAGTACTCTAGTTTATAGACGGAGTCCGCTGTGTTAGAAGGTTGTGTCTCACTTCTACTGGTGGCGGGCTGTCGCAAGCTCATTTAAATGCTACAGTACAGTTATATTGTATGAAAACACGTGAGGGTAGGTGGAAGCATCAAGCTAGTGGTGAGCAAAAACTGTGCATATAGAGGGCAGCAGAAACCAAGGAAAACTATTATGTGAAAAGAGGTAAGAGATCTTGTTCGACACAAAAATTTAGGTGTGTTTACTTGCAAAGTTTACTGGCAACACCATTTATATTACATTATCTAAACATTGCTTTATACATTATGTACTCATTTACTGCACATTTTACTGATACCAATATTTCCATTACATTATCTAAAGACAGCTTTATACATACTCAGTTACTGCACATTTTACTGATACCAATATTTCCATTACATTATCTAAACATTGCTTTATACATTATGTACTCATTTACTGCACATTTTACTGATACCAATATTTCCATTACATTATCTAAAGACAGCTTTATAATACATACTTATTTACTGCACATTTTAGTAATAAAAACATTTGCATTAAATTATCTAAATACAGCTTTATACTAGTATGTACTGTTTCTGACTGACTTTGAGGAATAACTGAAAATATTTGGCATGAAAAAGAGTATACCAAAAATAAAAAAATATTAAGGAATAAAAATAGAGTAAAAACTGTAATCTAAAATACCAGAATAATTTCACTTAAATGTTTTCAACCCTTAATAGTGGTTTAGTATTTTATAAGAAAACTAATAGTTATATATACTAAAGTCAGAGATCATGCAAGCATTGCCTTATTTTCTTTATCACTAAAACTAAATAGATTCTACTATTCAAATATAATTTATTATGTCTATCAATTGATTTGTATGTTTTTCAGATATTGATTGGTCTTTGAAAACTTTATAGGACAAGGTTAAATACATGTATAGCAATAATACATGAACATAAATTTTTGTGAAACGATTTAAGTATGTGATCAACCAACCATGCCTACAAATACACATCTAATGCACAAGCTTTCATCCAAACTCAATAAAGTTATTACAGCAGTAAAATTAACTGTAGTATACTAAATCATAAATAAATTGTAGTATTTCAAATCATAAATAAACTGTAGTATCTTAAATCATACATAAAATGTTGACATAAAACCTCGAAAAAATACACAACTATTGTGATACTATTTATACACACCTTTAAAGGGTTCCCCTTCAGAAACATACAGTATCTCTTCATTTCTGTATAAAAAAGGAAGGTTAAAAAATGGCACACTATTCAACTTTATTCATTCTTAACTGAAGTTTAAATTACTTTCCAAAAGTTTTACTATGTGATATGTTGTATATTACTATTTTAAATCATGCCACAATTCCTTCAAATACGAGAAACAAATTCATGTATGCAACAAAGCTTCTTTATTGGATGGGACAGTCTAGATGGACCAAATGGTTCCTTACTGTTCTTAAGTAATATGTATATATACACAGCGTGGTCACAAGTAAATAGACCACCTTTTCAAAAAAAAAATGAAATTTTTCAGTCATATTCACATGAATTGATATATTTATAATTTAAGTAATATCTAGTAGATCTTCCTTTCGCTTCGTGGAGTTCGTTGATCCTTTGGGGCATCGTGAGAATCTTCTCGTCAGTTTTAAATTGTGGGATTTTCGCCCACTCTTGCTTCAAAACTTGGAGTAGATCGCTCTTTGAAGTTGGTTTTTTTGGTTGTTACTTGACTTGCCGGTCAAGTATGGCCCAGAGGTTTTTGATGGGGTTCATGTCAGGAGATTGGCTTTGCCAGGGCAACTTCTGGATGCCATTTTTTTCCTGCCAGTTTTGGGTGTTTCTAGCAGTGTGACATGGTGCTCCATCTTCCTGGAACAACGTTGTGTTCTTGTCCATGAAACCTGAGGAATAAAGTGGCAAGAGTCCTTCCTCCAATATTTCGACATATTTCGCAAATTTTATGTTTCCAACGCACTCCACTAAGCTCAATCTCCCACCAACCCAAACAGCTCCCCAAACCATCACGCTGAAACCACCATGCTTCACAGTTGGCTGTAATCTGTTAAGCCAAAGCTCTTGGTGAGGCAGTCGTTAATCTG